TAACAAAATTGATAATATGTCTTAGAAAAAGCAAAAAAAAATATTACCCCCAAAAGTATGCCTTGCTTCAAATCGAAATGTGATATTTGTCACTGATTCCAAATTGAAATGTGAAATTTTTTACTGATTCTTTGATATTATGCATTTGACAATAAAAATACCTATGTTTCCAATGAATTTGATCTAATATACATACTGCCCCTAAAAGTATGCCTTTGGCAAAAAGCAAAAGAAAATAGTTTTCAAATTTTAGAGCCCAAGCTGACTACTAAAATGTATTTTCCTTTATGCTTATAAATTGCAAAATTAAAATAACAAAAATTTTTATTACAAAAAAAACAAATTATTATCCCTAAAAGTATACTTTGCTTCAAATTTAAAAGTTACATCTTTCACTGTTTTTTGACTTTTACTACAATATATTTGGCAATTAAACTACATATGTTTCCAATGAATTTTATTTAATATTTCTAAGTCCCCTTGCCCCCCAACATTCTTCTAATTCCCTTCCTTCAAAAAAAAAATATATATAAAAAATCTTTCTTTTCACATTTCTACCTTTTGATTTTCGCACATTCATGTCAATAAATCTAAAAGAAAATCTTGCCAAATGCATAGAAAGGCAAGAAAAGTGATGGCTTGCCAAAGAAAAAGGAAGAACACAGCACCATGGTCCCATACACCCAAAACCAAAAGGGAATACGACACTAAAGACAGAACAAAATAAAACTTTTAAATTGCATTTTGAGTCTTTGGGGATTTTTTTGAGCACAAACACTCGTTCGCTCTCTTACTCAGTCATGCATCCAGTAAGGCCGGCAGGGAAACAGTAGCATCACACAATCCACTAATAGACACTGACATGGGGACGGATGGACAGACGGACGGACGGACGTATAGTCTCAAAGTTACACTGTGTATACGGAAACGGATACTTTACTTTGCAAACGGATGCCTGGACAGACAAACAAACGAATGTACGGACGGAGGGACGAATGAAAGGATGAAACTGAATGAATCCATTGCACCTGTGAACGGTCACGTTTGTAAAATGCTATTTTTTTATTTTTTCGTTTTGCCATTCGGTTTACCAACCCAAGAGAAGTGTAGAGATTCTTATTATTATTTTTTTTTTCAAACGTTCGACTGGCACATACACAAATACTTGGCTAAAATTTCACCAAAACCTCGCCGACATTTTGTAACCTCAGCAATGGTCGGTAGATGATGGTGGCGGTGGTGATGGTAATGGAGGTGGTGGTAGTACGTGGATATTTGAAATTGAAATAGCCGAGATTTTAATGCAGTCGTAATGTTCACACACTTGCCGTTATTTCGAGTGAGGTGGGGAGGGGGATTGTGACCCCTGTAACAAGATTCTCCAGATAGTCATTGGTACTCTAGCTGCTGCTGCTGCTGTTCTACACCGAACTAAGGTGGCCTAAAGAACAAAGTTTATTTAAGTAGTATTAGCGTACGATTTGTTTTACAACCACGTACATAATCAAAGCAAAGTAAAACATTTCATTTTATTTGTTTGCTGTTCCTTGTTAGAGAGTTAGATGGAGCGGAAGAGAGAGAGAGAGAGTACATGTGAGTGAGTGTGTTTGTGTGAGTTTTTTACTCTTTAATTTTTCTTCATTATTGTGGTTCATAGAAGTTCCAGCTGGCTGATGATTGTCTGCTTTGCAACAATTGCCGCCGGTTGGCAATATTTTCCCCCTTTTTTTATTATTTTTCTGGTTGTTGTTGTACCTGGTCCTGGATAATAAACTAATGGTGTTTTAATATTGTATGGACCTGTGGTTTTGTTACATGCACCACTTACTTAACTGCTTGCTTTGGGGCCTTGGCAGATAAGACACTACTTGTTCTGGCTGGCTGTCGTCTAGCTGACTGGCTTTGCTGGTGGTGGTGGTACATGTCATGAGGTTAACAAAGTTTGTCCATCCAACCAGCCAGGTTCGTGGACAAATGTGACTGAAAATTAATTGAATTAGTGTTGATGAAAATTTAATTTCGAAACAAGTAATGAAAATAAACAAAAATAAAATATTTTCAAATGGGTGACTAAAAGTATGCAATGGATTTTGTAACAAAATTTGAAATTAGGCAAGGAGGTTAATTTGTAAAAGTTGTTTTGGATATTAAATTTTATTGTGAGATCAAACAAAGAAACAAAAAACTAGTTTGAACAACTAAAAGTATGCAATGAAAATGGGTGATGGTTGAGTGTTGACTTTCGGCAATGGAGATGCCTTCTGAGTGCAAAATATCATTGAAAATAAAGAAAGTGATAATTTGAAATTAGGCAATACTTTAGAAAAATTGTGAACAACTATTGGAATTAGGACCTTTTGTAAAAACCACCTAAAAGTAGGCCATAACTTTGGTGATAGTTTCAGAAACAGAAGATAATTCAATTTGAATTAATAATTTTTTGGAACATTTCATATTATTTTAAAGGGAAACAAAAACACACAGTCATAGCAACTTAAAGTATGCAATGGAAATGGAAGCTTGCTGAGTTAGGGAAAGGGAATTATTGACAATTAACAAATCTCAGCCATATGACTAGAGAGGTTATATATCAGTTGATACGGCCAAAACGTGCCTCATCGAAATAACGGTTATAAACCCAAGGTCTCTTTGGACCAAATCTGTTTCAGGACATTTGGAGTTGATCTAGCGATGTCCTTTCGTCCGTCCGTCTGTCTAGCTGGTACGCACGACAACTATCAGAAGGGATTATTCGATGTGGTCCAAACTTGGTACATCGTAATATTATTGCCAAACTTAGATCGTGTTCGGAGGTGGGCAATATCGGTCCACTCCTTCTGGTACCTCCCCCACAAATTCTTAACATTTTTGAAGAAAATTATTTACCGCACAGAAAGAGAAAGGATAATCCGATTTTGGTCCAACTTTCCAAGTCCTAATATTTGCATTAGTGCTAGGTCATGTGCGAAAATGGACAATATCGAAGTTCCTCCCCCAATTATTCAACATTTTAAATAATTATAACTCTTATAAAATGTTTTGCAGGAGTCCGATTGTCTTCAAATTACACACATCACAATATTTTTACTAACCTAAGGTCTGGTGTGAAAATAAAATATATCGGTACACTCCTTCTGGTACCTCCCCCACAAAAGGTCGAAATTTTGAAAAATATGTTTTCTGCACAGAAAGAGGAAGGATAATCCGGTTTTGCTCTAACTTTGCAAATCCTAATATTTGGGTCGGCGGTAGGTCATGTGCGAAAATGGGCAATATCGATGCACTCCAACAAGTACCTCCCCACAAAAGGATCACAATTTTTAATAAGTACAACTCTTGTAAAATGTGATGTAAGTGTCCGATTGTCTTCATATTACACACATCACAATATTTTTACGAACCCAAGTTCTGGTGTAAAAATGGAATATAAGGGTGCACTCCTTCTGGTACCTCCGGAACAAAAGGGTCAAAATTTTGAATAATCATGAAGCTCATAAAACAGGAAATTAACATCCGATTCCATTCAGACTTGGCCCATCTGAATATTTCCATGAACACAAGATCTGTTATAAAGATGGTAGATATTCGACCATTTCTTCTGATACCTCTCCCTCAAAGGGTCAAAGTTTTGAATAAACAAAACGATCATAAAGTCCGAAATAAGCATCCGGTTCTCTTTGAATTGCACACTTTACAATATTTTTATTAACCCAAAATCTGGTGTGAAGATGGAATATATCGGTGCACTCCTTCTGGTACCTCCTCCACAACGGGTTAATATTTTGAGTAACCATGAAGCTCATAAAACGCGAAATTAACATCTGATTCCATTCAGACTTGGCACATCTCAATATTTTTATCAACACAAGATCTGTTATAAAGATGGTAGAGATTCGACCATTCCTTCTAGTACCTCCCCCACAAAGGGTCAAAGTTTTAAATAACCAAAACGATCACATAATCCGAAATAATCATCCGGTTCTCTTCAAATTACACACATCACAATATTTTTACATACCCAAAATCTGGTGTGAAGATGGAATATATCGGTGCACTCCTTCCCACAAAGGGTAAAAATTTTGAATATTCATGAAGCTCATAAAACATGAAATTATCATCCGATTCCATTCAGACTTGGCACGTCTCAATATATCCATGAACACAAGATTTGTTATAAAGATAGTAGATATTCGACCATTCCTTCTGGTACCTCTCCCACAAAGGGTCAAAGTTTTGAATAACCGAAACATTTATAAAATCCGAAATTAGCTTCCGGTTGTTTTCAAATTTCACACAGCACAATATTTTTAGTAACCCAAGGTCTGGTGTGAAGATAGAAAATATCGGTGCACTCCTTCTGGTACCTCCCCCACAAAGGGTCAGCATTTTTAGTAATTATGAAGCTCATAAAACGGGAAAACAACATCCGATTCCATTCAGACCTGGCTAATTTTTGAGTAACCAAACACGAAATTAACATCCGATTCCATTCATTCGTTATATAAAATTACAACATAAAATATATCTAGCTCCCAGAAGTATGCAACACAATTTAGAGATACTGTTACTGACCTTAAATATGTGCATTGGTTTCAAAGAATAAAAAATTTAATTATTTTACTAATAAATTCCTTAAAATATGCTTCAAGTTTTCAACTAAAATAATTATACAATATGTAAAATATTTTGAAATATTTTAATTGTAAGCCCATCACCTTATGTCTCAACATATAGGCCCCAAAAAGTATGCAGCGCAATTTAGAGATACTGTTCTGACCTTAAATATTACCATTAGTTTCAAAAAGTCTTAAATAAAATCATTTTACTAATAACCTCCTAAAAATATGCTTCAATTTTTAAACTAAGAAAATAATAATTAAACCATATGTAAAATTTGTTAAAATATTTTAATTATAAGCCCTCGCTATATCTCAACATATTACTAATCTCTCCTTTTTATTTTCTCTCTCCTTCTCTCCTTCGCCACAATTTCTCTGTAGGCCTTGCATTGAACACATCCTCATTGACCGGTCGCCGTGATTCCTTCGATCGCACCACTTCTGCCTTCAGTCCCTCTGCCATGGATTATACCAACAGTAATGCCGCCGCTGCCAATGCTGTTTCATCGACAGTTGCCCAAGCGGCTGCAGCAGCCGCCGCTGCCGCTGCTGCACGTGGCAAATGGCCGGGTGCCGTTACCAATACATATGGTGCATTGGGCGCCACCGCATCGGCAAGTCCCATTGGAGCTGCCATTACACCACCTCCGCCACCACAATCGTGCCTAATGAATAATCGTGCTCCAGGAGCTGAATCGAAATATCGTCAACAAATGGCTGTGGGCTTACCGCCAGCTGCTGCCGCTGCCCAGGCGGCTGCAGTGGCTGCTGCCGCCAACAACATGTTTGGTTCCAATAGTTCTCTGTTCTCCAAACACTTGGCTATACCGGGTGCAACACCAGCTGCTGCTGCCGCTGCGGCCGCCGCTGCTGCTGCAGCAGCTGCTACACGTCAGGCGGCTGCCGGTGTGGGTGGTGTGGGAGCTGCTGCTGCTGCGGCCGCCGCAGCTGCTGCAGCCGCCGGAGCTGCTGGTGCCCCGCAACCCGGACGTTCTCGCTTGCTGGAGGATTTCCGCAATCAACGTTATCCCAATCTCCAATTGCGTGATTTGGCCAATCACATTGTGGAATTTTCACAGGACCAACATGGCTCTCGTTTTATACAACAAAAACTGGAACGTGCCACAGCCGCTGAGAAACAAATGGTTTTCAATGAAATCCTTGGTGCCGCCTACAGTCTAATGACCGATGTCTTTGGCAATTATGTCATCCAGAAATTCTTTGAATTCGGCACTCCCGAACAGAAGAACACCCTGGGCATGCAGGTGAAGGGTCATGTCTTGCAATTGGCCCTGCAAATGTACGGCTGTCGTGTCATCCAAAAGGCCTTGGAGAGTATCTCGGCCGAACAGCAACAGGAAATCGTACGTGAGCTGGATGGCAATGTTCTCAAATGTGTCAAAGATCAGAATGGCAATCATGTCGTTCAGAAATGTATCGAATGTGTCGATCCCACAGCATTGCAATTCATCATCAATGCCTTCAAGGGACAGGTCTATTCGCTGAGCACACATCCCTATGGCTGTCGTGTGATACAACGTATCTTGGAGCACTGCACCGCAGAACAGACTCAGCCCATATTGGATGAGTTGCATGAGAATACGGAACAATTGATACAGGACCAATATGGCAATTATGTTATACAACATGTTTTGGGTAAGTGGAGTATGAAGTGGAGTGGGTAGTAGTCAAATTTGAGGAGGCTTGCCCATCATCCTGTTGTTGTTGTTGTTTGTCAAATGAATTGTTATTAAATGGTTATTTGTTTCCCATTTTAATCCTCATCCTCCTCCTTTGTTTCTTGTAGAACATGGTAAACCCGAAGACAAATCGATTTTGATTAATAGCGTACGGGGCAAAGTTTTGGTTTTATCCCAACACAAATTCGCTTCCAATGTGGTGGAGAAATGTGTCACACATGCTACACGGGCCGAACGTACAGCCTTGATTGATGAAGTCTGTACATTCAATGACAAGTAAGTATAAAAAATATCCTCGTTCTGTTTTTTTGGAATGTAAAAAGCGATTGTCTATATCCGGGGTTTTTATTTTCGAGAAAGAAATGTTATAAATTATTGAGAAGATAGTTTTTTATGCTTAGTTTCCGTAACAATATTTGGTTGTTTTGCCGGACAGGGTGATTCGAAATTTCCCTCTCACCCCAGCTCCCAAATAGAATTCATTTATCATGTTTATGATATTTCCGGCACCTGAGTTGGGAAGGACGTTGTTTTTTACGATTTTGTGTTATGGGAGTTGGAAACAGACAACTAATGGAGACTTTATTTTCCATTGAACACAGAAATGTTTTTGTAAAAATGTTTCAAAAATACAGTTTAAATAGCTTAATTTTCCTTTCAGAAGGTTGGTAAAAATTTCATATTTTTTTCTCCAAATCTATGGCTTGCGATTTGAAAAATACAAAAATTCGGGATTTGTTATCTGCTAGTCCGCAAACACATTCTAAATAGTCTTAATTTTCTGGTCTGATGTGTTTTAAAAATAATATTGTAAAAAAAAGCCTCGGCTTGTGATCTGTTAGTCCTCCATAAATTTTCTTAAAAAATATTTTTAGGCATCTCATACAGATTGAGATGAAAAAACTGCAACCAACCTCAGACTGCTGTCATTTCTAAGCCACTTGTCCGAGAGCTGTTAAAATTATTCCAGTGCAATTTGGTGAGAACTTCAGACTGCTATCATTTCTACTCCACTCGTCCGACAGCTGTTAAAATTATTCCAGTAACATTTTGGTGAGAATTTTCCAGAAAAAAACAATTATTCGTGATGGAATTCAAGTGTGATAATGTGATTTCTTTATATTTGGCTGGAAAACCACATGTGGCTATAGTTGGAGCACTCCAGCATTTAAATGTGAATAAATCTTTTATGTCTCGTAACATCGCTCGTTACGGTGATACTGGTAGCCCGTAGCCCGACGTCAAGAAAGTGGACGGAAGAAAACAGCCACATCAGCAGAAATGGTTCAAAAAGTAAAGAAGCGACTTGATCGAAACCTGCGTCGCAGTGGCCGAAAAATGCCTCGTGAGCTGAACATATCACAATATTCCATTCGGCAAATGTGCAAGAACTTACACCGCAACAGAAAGAAAGTAGACTCAAAAGTGACTCAAAAGAGAGTTGCTTCGCTTGGCCGAAAGTGGTGAACGAATTTGGTTTTCTCCAATGAGAAAACATTAGTTTTCTCGTAAATGGCTCGTGAGCTGAACATATCGCAATATTCCATTCAGCAAACATTGAAAAATGAACTCGAGGTAAAGCCATTGGAATTCCAAAGGGCAAGAACTTACATCGCAACTGAAAGAAAATAGACTCAAAAGAGCTAAAGAGTTGCTTCACATGTCCCGAAAGTTGTGAACTGCCGAATTTAGTTTTCTCCGTTCTCCGATGAGAAAACATTCGTTGTCCAGCAGTTTTTAAACAAACAAAATGATCGTGGTGACTTGCCAAAGAGATCCGCTGAAAATGTGCACCTTCGTTTGGCCAGAACTCAGCGACTGCCATAGTGATGGTGTGGGCCGCCATAACAGCCGATGGTCGCTCTCCGCTCGTATTAATCGACCGTGGCATCAGAATAAATGTCGAATATTATCGCGAAAATATTCTGGAGGGTGTATTAAAGCCAGGGACACACAAACATTTTGACCGCAGACCTTGGACATTCCAACAGGACTCAGCACCATCGCACTCAGCACGCGCCACCCAAGAATGGTTACAAAATGAGGTTTATCGCTGCATTTCCAGCCCACAATGTCCACCAAAATCTCCGGATACCAATCCGTTGGACTATTGTGTCTGGAGTATTTTGGAAAGCAAGGTTTGCACTAAAAATATCACCTCAAACAAGCGTTTCGCCGGGAATTAGCTAAAATACCGCAGAGCAAGATTCGAGCAGCGTGTAACGTTTTCATTGGCCGTTTGAAGGCCATAACTCGTGCCAATGGTGGCCAATTCGAACAAATCTGCACTTATTCTAAAATTTGATGCTATTTCCGACATTTTTTTTTTTTTTTTGGTTTCATTGGCTGTTTGAAGGCAATAATTCGTGGCAAAGGTGACCAATTCGAACAAATCTAAACTTATTTTAAAATTTGATGCTATTTCCGACATTTTTTGCGTTCATTCAATTAAATTTTTAAAAAAAAATGTAAAAATTAAGGCGTTTGATTTTAGTGCAGTTTTTTTGTATCTCACCCTGCATGGTTGCTCGGATTTTCTTTCAAGGTTTTCATAAAAATCCAAATTCGATACTCAGATTCTCCTTAAAAATATACTCTAAAACCCGCCGTTGTTATCTCAGATTATCTAACAGAAATGTTCTCAGTTTAAAAAATTAAATTAAATTATTAAAATTGTCTATCAAATAATCTCAAAAATCCACGTTTGGTTCCACCGATTGTCCTTTAAAAATAAAATATCAGAATATGATGCCTCAAATTATTCAAGCTGTCATTTAAAAAATATTGTTAAAACCAACGTTTGATAGCTATTACTGTTTTAGTAGTCATGTATAGAAGTTTTTCGAATCGTCCATGGCTTATGGGTTAGGTAACCGTATTAATTGAAAATAAATAAAAAAAATATTTTTGACTTTAAAAATCCCATTTTGGTAACTTCAATTATCCTTGAAAAACTATTCCTCAAAATCACGTGTCAGCTCTGTTTCTTCCCTTATATCAATTCTTAAAAATAATTCACGAGATTTACCTAGAATGGGGTTTAAAACTAATCGTAAAAACAGGAATATTGTATCGGAAGGGGCTTCCAGAAATATTCCCAAAAAAAAAATCATATTTAATGTATCTTAAATAAATCATCAGTAAATCAGGAGAGAATTTAAAAAATATGACAACTCTCAAAAATATATTTTTTTAAAAAACCCACAGTTAACTGCAATTTTTTTGAAAAACAGAAACACAGTCTAATATTCTCCCCTCTTTTTTTAGCGCCTTACATGTTATGATGAAAGATCAATATGCTAATTATGTGGTCCAAAAAATGATTGATGTCTCCGAACCGACACAATTGAAGAAATTGATGAATAAAATACGCCCCCACATGGCTGCATTGCGTAAATACACCTATGGCAAGCACATCAATGCCAAATTGGAGAAATATTTCATGAAGACCTCAAATCCCATCACCTCAACAACGGCAGGAGCAGCCGTCGCGGGAACAACAGCCGTAACGGGTGTTGCAACATCAGCGGTATCATCGGCTGCCGCCGGTTTAAATCAAGCCTCCGGCCTGAGTGCTATTACAACAACTGCAGCCATAAATGCTAGTTCTATGTCCTCGGTAAATACCAATACAACAACTGTGGTTACGGCAAGCAACAACAACAATGCTGCCGCCGTGCAGGCTTTGGAAAATGGTATTATGGCTGCAGCCTCATCAATGGCCCAATCAATGGTGGGCGTATCCTCAGCTTCTTCAGTGTCGACCAGCAGCAGCAGTACAACACAATTGACATCGGTTACAGCGGCCAGTAATTTGGGACCCATTGGTCCACCCACCACTACCAATGGGGTATTGTAAATTTAAGAATGACAGGCAACAAATATTTTGTATGTATTGTGTAGAAGAAGCAAGAAGTGAGGAAAAAATGGAGGAAAGGAATTTCCCTTAGAATGCAAGTGAGAATTGCAAATAAGTTTTACTAGAATAATATCATCTCAAATTATTTTGAAAACAGTAACAACAACCACACAACAACTGAAAGGAGTAAAAACTGTTGATGGCTACCAATTTCAAAAACGGAGTTCTTTCTTAGTTATTAAGTGCATGAGAAAAAGAAAAAACAAGAAAAAGTAATTATTGATCTGACCCAAAGAAAAGATGGGCCCAGACAATTTCAACTTATTTCTGATCGATAAAAATACGCAAGGCATTCGCTTTGTCCCAGAAAAACCCCTGGCATCAGAATTTTTTATAAACATATATTTTTTTGGGGAGACACTAGAAATTTTTCCAAAAAAAAAAGAAAATAAAAATTGTATAAAGTATCAAACAACCAATCGATGAAGAAGAAGAATTAAAAAACTGGATTTTTTACTAGACTCACACCTTGAACACACACCCATAAAGAAAAAAAAACCCAACAACACCCCATGAATTTAAGTAACTTTGGCCTAAGCTGAGTACTATAGAGAAAGAAAACAAAAACATTAAACCTTTAAAAATAACCAAGTTTTTAAAAAAAAAATACTTTGAGAGAACACACACACAAATGTTTAGGTTAGGTTTGTAATTGTAATTTTTATGTTTATTTTTGTCATTAGTCCCTCTCTTACTATTCCTATTATTTTTACCATAACTTTTTTTATTATTACTTACTACTATGATGATAAAAAATGTAATTTCGATATTAGGACCATACCATATTGCGTTTTTTTTTAATTTTATAACATGAAACTGTAACCTCCTTCCTGTATGTATGTACGTTTTTTATGTTGTTCTTTTAAATTTTGTTTTGTTATAAAGACGAGATTTTGAGATATCCAAATATTTATATGTATGCAAATTTCAATTTTTTTGGGTTAAAGAGAGCATTTAGTTTTCGTTTTTTTGTAAATTTTTTTCGTTAACAAACGGAGTATTTTGATGTATTAAATGTAATAAGTTCCTAAGTGCCGAAAAGGGAAAATGTTTGAATCTTCTTTGTGTTTCATGGAATATTGCTAATTGTGAGCTGGAAAACGAAACTTTAAAACATCATCCAAAAAGATTTGACACTGAACTCAATAACTTCCCCTCGTAATTAAAAAAATATATAAAGTCGATATGTAAACGCCGAAGTTTCTTTTATCAAAACAACTCAATTTTACATAAGAGAATTCAAACCTTCAATGGGATATGTCGTATTTTGTTTTAGACACTTTTTCAAATTAAACAAATACCGATCCGAATCCGAAAAATACCGATTTATTTTAACATAATAATAATTTATTCAAAATCCTTCCCTTTCTTTTGAAGACTTACATTCACAACAGGAAAAACCGAATAATATTCTTTATTTCAAAAATCTTATGAAAGTCATGTATTGGCTCAGCACTTTTCGAATTGATCGAATTCAAAATCCCCAACTAATCAATAGAATATCAATATTTTCAACTGTGAAAATTCAGTCAGGGAAGGTTATATTTTTTTGATAAAACAACATTCTTGGGCTTTCGTAAAGGTGATGTAGATTCCTTGAAAATTTGTTTCCATAATGTCCTAAAATTTATAGCCGGCTTTTGTATAATAATTCAATAGTCATATGGAAGAAATACTTTGGCTTAGAAGTTTTCTATTTGATTGAATTCTAAATCCCCAACTAATTAGTAGAATATCAATATTATCAATGTGAAAATTTGGCCATAGAAGTTATATTTTTGGGATGAAACAACACTATTGGGCTTTCGCAAAGCTAGGGTTAAAAATTTCACAATGTCCTAAAACTTATAGTCCGCTTTTGTATAACAATGCTATAGCCATATGAAAGACATACATTGGCTCAGAACTTTTCGAATTGATCGAATTAGTAGAATATCAAGATTCTCAATTGTGAAAATTCAGTCATGGAAGATTATATTTTTTGGATTAAGCAAAATGCTTGGGCTCTCGTAAAGCAAGGGTTACAAATTTCACAGTGTTCTAAAACTTATTGCCAGTTTTTGTATAACAATTCAGTGTGAAAAGTGAACTCTAACGATTTGTCAATTTTTGCATTTTTATTTAATTAAAAAAAATACTCATGGAATTGGTGTTTTTCTTTCGGGTTCACTTTCGTATTGTCATTTAGTAACAGGTTTTTAATTCCCATGAAAGTTATATTTTGTCATGGAAAGTTATATTTTTTATGAAACAATATACTTTGACTTTCGCAAAGCTAGGGTTATAAGTTTCATAATGTTCAAAAACTTATAGCCAGTTATCGTATAACAATTCGAGAAGTCGAAAGAAAAAACATACAATTCTTTATAGGATTTTCAATTTTTGGATATTTATTTATTTAAAAAAAATTAGGAATTTGTGTTTTTCTTTCGGGTTCCCTTTCGTATCGTCATTCAATTTCAAGTCCTTCCCTTAAGGGAGAATATATACTTTCTTCAATATTAATATTTAGTTTAAATAAAAAAATATTATCTCTAAAATATTAATCTCAACAACAATATCTTATTCTGAGCCAAAATGTTGTGCTTTTCAACCAGTTTTTTATAAAATTAACTTAAAAACTGTCATGCCATTAAAGTTTGTTCTGATTCGGTACTAAAAAGACCAAAGAAAAATAGAACTATTTTCAGTAAAACTCGAATTTTGAAAATAAAAAATAGTCTATGGTCTAAATTTAAATTCTATTTTAAATTTTATAAATTTATTGGAAACAACAGATTTTCAAGTCTAAAATCTTGTCCTCTGTTATTATTGAGGAAAACCCTGATTGAAATTACATTGAGAATAAACCTTGGGATCTTCGGTGTCCAATTTTTGCTTTGAGATCAGTTTTTTATTTATATATATTCAAAATAATTCAAATTTATTTCCATGAACGCCCACTACGGCACTTCGTTTATCTGTATATTTATAAATATGTGTACAAATGTATTCTAAAACAAGTTTTCAAAAGAAAATATCTTTGTAAAGTCTGTGGATCAATTAAAAAAATATCAATTACAAGCCTAGTCCCAGGCCCTCGTTGTCCATATGAAACTTATCGTTTAACCTATAGCAGCCAGCCTGTATATTCTAAAATTAATGTGTAAATTTAAAGCCTTCCTTTTAGGCATTATACATATTTTCCATTACACTAAAAAAAGCCTTTCCCAAAGGCATTCGCTACCATATTTTCTGTACAATATTTAATTAGTTATTTGAAAAATTGTAAATAAACTAAACTCGAATTGGTTATGCTCGCTTTGACTATCTTTAACCCAAAAAAAAAAAACGAAGAAGAAAAAAACTTAAACCAGAACTGAAACTGAAAAGTAGAAAATCTCAAAGGTTATGAAAATTAAGATAAAATCTCTTGTATTTTTTTCCATTTTAATTTTTTTTATTTTAATTTCATTTTTTTTTTTTTTTAATAAAATACTGAGTAAATAATTTTTTTTGTACGTAATAATTCTAGTAGTTTTAGTAAAGGAAAACAAAAACGAGAAGAACATGCAACTGAAAACGTAAGAGAATTCCTAAAACAAAACTATTAAACAGGACTTTAAGTTCAAATGGAAATTAATATGAGAACACATTGTCTAATAGTTTTTTATCAATTTAACTTTATTTCACCACCCTGCCCTCATAAAATCTACTATTATATATGTCATGCTAAAGAAGAAGAAAAAGAGAACTCTATGAATGTAAAACTTGATTTCTTTATGTAAATGTCTACTTTATAACTACCATAATTATTTTTAAATTGTATTAATTATTACTTTGTGTTTTATTGTGTAAGTGTAAAAGTGTAGATTATGTTAATTATACCTTTTTTTGAAAACAAACAAAACCCATTATTTTAAGAAATTTAAATCTTACTTAAATTTAGAAACAAACAACAAACCAAACATCAACTCTTTATATATTGCAAACTGAGAAATAAAAAAATAAAACAATTGTGTTGAATGTATTTGTATAAAACAAAATGTGTAATGTTTAAAAATAAAAAGAAAATATGTAAACTTTTGTGTAAAAAAAAAACAAACAAACAACAACAAATAAGAATTTAAAAACTGAATCAAACCAAGAAATAAGCGATAAAGTCATTTATGTCAAACAAGAAAAAACAACAAGAAACCCAAATAAATTTCCTTTGCAAAAATGTGAAACCAAAAAACCATGCCAATTGACCTGGTGGATAGGCATGGTTTTTGGGGTAAATATTCAAAAAATAGTACGACCCATTAACTATGAATTTTAAAAGGTATACTTTTTAGGATGTTTACTTTTTGGAAGAAATCAAAATAATGAGATTTGACGTCATGTCTAACTATAACCTTTTAGATTTCTCATTTTTTTATTTTGTCTCAAGTAATCATTCCTTAATGTATTCCTTTTGAAATCCTATTATTTGGGTCTTCCAAGCTAATAAAAATCTGGAATACTCCAATAAAAATGTATCAGTGTGCGCTAAGATTTCTGATTTGAAATAGTAAATTTTGGGTTTTCTAAGACCACACATAACAACGTATCATCTACCCAGATGCATGGGTAATTATATCATTGAAACAAACAATTTTTTGGCATTTCTTGTGTGTGTGTGCAGGGAAAGGATAAAGCTAAGCTAGGAATGACTTTTGATTGTTTTACAACGTTCATTAAAATCTATATTCAAATTGGGCATTTGCTCAACGGATTATTTAAGTTTTTTTTCTCAGAGGTATCAGGTATCAGGGTATCGGACGTTGTTAAGGAAGTGGGAAATATTTGAGTTAATTTTTAATTCCTCAAAGTTTCCCACAAATTCCTCCAATTTCCCCACAAGATATATTTTCTGTCATTCAACGAATTATTAAAGTTATTTTTTCTAACAGATACAAGGATATCGGACGTTGTTGACAAAGTGGGAAATATTTGAGTTAAATTTTAATTCCTCCAAGGTCCCCATAAATTCTTCAAAGTTTCCTACAAGATATAGTCCCTATCATTGTAGGCGAAGTAGGAAGTATTTGAATTAGGTTTTAATTCCTCAAAGTTCGCCACAAATGTCTCAAAGTTCCCTACAAGTTATATTTCCTATCATTCAACGAATTATTTAAGTTATTTTCTCTAACAGAGACAAGGGCATCGGACGTTGTTGACGAAGTGGGAAATATTTGAATTAACTTATAATTCCTCAAAGTTCCCTACAAGATATATTCCCCAGCATTGTTGGCGAAGTGGGAAGTATTAGAATTAGGTTTTAATTCCTCAAAGATCCACAGAAATTGGCAATTTTTATAGGTTTGGTGATGCTAATTACATTAGGGCCCAGTTATGAAACTCCCGGGAAAATGTCTCTGGGATGTTAGTTACCAAACCAAAATAACATAGTTTTTGAAATTTCCATATTATTTAAACTATGGCCATGGAATCTCTATGTGGCAAATTTTCCTCGAACTTGTTCCCACGTAAATTACAATTAGTCCTTTTTCCTTGCCCTTCAAGAATGCCAAAACCATTTGCATAACATTCATTCTTTTATTTGAAATACCAGATTCCTCTATGTGGAATTAATTTCAAATCCCCAAAAACAAACAACAAAGATTAGGACATCAGAAATCCAACACATAATTTCATATATTGATATAAAATAATAAATATATAATTATACATATATGGATATATATAAATAAATAAAACAAAATACATACATTACATTATGAATACAATGCATTGATTGATATATCATCATTAACACACATACAAAACAAACATATATATAAATATATAAATATTATAAAATATTATCTCTTATAAATATCTCTCTCTACTCTTATATAAATATAGAAATTAAATTTAGTAAAACAAAGAAACCACTTTAAAAGTAGCTTTAGATTTTTAACAATTTAACAACAACAACATCAACAAGATGAAGACACACTCAAAGTATAACAAAAGGAAAACAATCACACAGACATAACAAACTAAGATGTTTCAATGAAATTGTTTAAATAAAACAAATTCTTGGAAAAGGAAACCACTTTGTTGGGTTATGTCGTTGTGATTTATTTTTAGTTTTATGAAAATTTTTGCAAAATCCAACTTATAATTGCCACACAAACATAAAACCTCTCCCAAATTTTGATAAGAAACAACAATTTAATACACATCCCTAGAAATTATAAAAATTAACAACTTTGATATTGAAAGAAAAATCATAACACATAAGAAAAGATTTTCCTCTTTTGAGTTTCAAATTTTATGAAATCTTATCCCAGCACCCCTTTTTCTCGTCTAAATACTGAAAGTGGAAATTGTATATTTTTTTCTGTTTTATAAACAAAGTATTTTTATAGAAAAACACAAACACTACCCCCAAAATTTGTATATCTCTGTAATTAAATTATTTAGCCAACCCATAACTTTTCATCCTACAAGTCATGAAAAATTTGTTAATATTTTTGTAATTTTTGTAAAGAAAAATAAAAGAAATCCCCCATTTTGTTTCCATGGAGCATTTTTATGTAAAAAAAAACACAACATTTCATTCAGAAATTTGAAATCTTTGGACCCATGGAAATTGTGGAATTAAACTGAAGACATGTATGTTTTGTAAAATTGTCCCACATTTGTTAATGATATTTTCAAAAAACCCCAAACTTCAAGTGTCAATCTCTCTAAAACAAACTACCTATACTTTTTATTTAAAAACTAAACAAAATAGTCCTCGCTTTATTAAAAAGAAAGAATACTGTAACAATACCAATTCTATTTAAAAGTCACTATTCAATTGTTTATTTATTTTATTTTAACCTAACCTTACATGCAAAGAAACTCATTTAATTTTAATTAGATTTTGGATTTTACCCTCATCGGGGAAAAATCCAATCTTAGAACTGCTCTTTAAAATGATTTTAAATTAAGTTTTATTATTATTATTTTTTTTTATTTAATTAATTTTCTTTATGTCATGTCATTTTCTTTAACTATAAGACAAAACCATCAAAGAGAGAGGGTATAAGAAGTTTTGCGCTTTGTTAGTTTTAAAAAAGAATTAATAATTATTATTAAAAACAAACATTGTGTATTGTATAACTTTTTATTATTATTTTTTAAACATTTAATATCATTTACTTTACATACAATCAACATATAAGCTAAAAAACACACACACATTGGATGTATAACCATATATATTTTTTGTCTATTTTGTAAATCGTCATTGTCGTCGTCGTTGTCGTCATCGCTCGCTCGCTTTTTTTATTATTATTATTATTATTAATATTATTTTAAATTTATAATTAGAGCATCTCTTTATGATTAATAATTAATTTAAATGATATGTTTGTAAATTCTACTTTTTTTTGAAAAATGATTATAAATATTATAAATAAAATTACATTATAATTTTTAATTAAAGAATCTGCAACAGAAAAACAACAAATATATTATTATATGCAAAAAATAAAATAAAAAAATCTGGCTTTCTTTTTTGTTGTGTCAAAATTCCGTAGAGATTTGTTTTCCCCTTGGTTTGAGTTCCTGGTTGAGAAAGTTGAGCCTATGTGAACGTATAGAAAACTCCTACAAGTTCAATAAAATAAAGTGAGGGAGGGTTTTTTTCTGAATTACTGCCAGCCAGAAAGCTGCTGACTAAATTATCTAACGAACTTCTCATTAATTGACAAAGAGACTGTCAAATGTTTTCCTAATAGTTTGAGGTAAAATTCATTTGCTTTATGTGAAGCAGACAATGACCGTTAAATTTTATGGGGGATACTTTTCCTGCAGGAATTGTCCAGCCACTTTTTTGAAAGCGTAAGAGTTTTATACTCTAGTTTTTTATACTCTATAGTTTTGATCGTATACAAAGGGACCCCTATTGTTTGGAATATATTATGCAACATTTAGATAGAGCTCTCAAATTTGATAGAGTTATATAATTCCATCCAGAATCGTTGGTAAAAAAAGGGTCATATTTTTTGATATATCCCCATGTAGGGTAACTCCGATTTTGATTATTATACCCTCAGCCATATGGCTAGAGAGGTTTGATACGGCCAACACATGCCTTATCGAAATAACGGTTTTAGACGAAAGGGATATCCGATTTGGTCCAAACTTGGTACATCGTAATATTATTATTAAACATAGATCGAGTTCGGGGATGGGCAATATCGGTCCACTCCTTCTGGTACCTTCCACACAGGTCGAAAATTTCAAAAAAAATAAATATTTTACTGCACAGAAAGTGAATATAATCCGATATTGCTCCAACATGCATCAGTGCTAGTTCACGTGCGAAAATGAACAATGTTACTCCATTAAGTATCTTCCCTACAAAGGGTCAACATTTTGAATAGTTATAACTCTTATAAAATGTGATGTAAGCGTAAATTTGGAATTCATACATTTCCTTATAAATATAAGGGTAAGTAATAACCAAAAACTATACTCCAGAAAAGATTGGGAACTAAATGAGCTAAATAAGCCATTAATAATTACTTAAAAAAAAGAAAAAACAAAAGAAGGGACATAGTTTCCTCATTAATGAGCAAAGTTATTGTCCGACTACAAAACAGAAAGTTTTAAGATCGGGACTTGGCGTCGAAAAAATAATAAAATGCAGAGAGTTTTTGATCCGGCGTGGAAAAAACTGTTTCCCAAAATGAATGCGTTACACTTTCAAATTGTTGAGAAAATAAAAAACAAAACTACTTTTAATACACTCCTAAATTACCGCCTAAAATTTTTAAGCATTCCAAAACAACTGCTTTTGAAGAGGAAATTGTCCCATTTTTCAAACTATTATAAAATGTGAGAAATATGGTTGATTAATTCAATGTCATAATTTTGGAATTAAGAAATTCCGAGTAATCGTAACTATTAAATATAGGCCTTTATAAAGCTTGTAAATTGTTTGTAATCAGAAAATAAAATGGTTACTTATATAATCAGTAAGAGTTGTGATTTTTTATACCCTCTACCATAACATGGATGGTATATGAGCTAAACTCATCGAAGTAATAATTTCAGACCCAAAAAAGTGTTTGTGTTCATGATCAGTGTAAAATTCTAATACGATCCATCCGTCTATTTTTATTACGATCTCGTTTGCGGGAATTGAGATAGAGTGCTGAAATTTGGTACACATGCGTTTTGGGTTTGAGCATGTTCTAGTTCGAGGATGGGCTATATCGGCAAACCTTTTGATATAGTCCCCATATAACAGTAACCCCTCATTTTAATTAGTTTGTCAATTTTCGGCACATTTTCAACAAATTTGTCTCGAATGTAGTAATTCAAACAAGTTACGGGTTTCTAACCACCTTACAAAAACAGTTAATATAGGTCAACATTGTGGTTTATTTCCCATATTTGGGATTCTGATGGCTTTCCCTTATTTATCAACAGAATTGTCTGAAATTTTGTATTTGAGGTTACCAAGCGTTGTCCAACTGCCTTAATAATTAATAATAAAAAATAATAATAATAATAATTATAATTTTGACTACATATTTCATGGTGGAGGGTATCAAAAGTTCGCCACGACCAAAGGTTTTGAATTCTCAAGTCAATTTTTCATTTTATGATATAGTCCCCATGGTTTGGAACGTGGACCTGACCTAAGAATTTAAAACCCATTTGGAGTTTTGCTATTATGACTTAATACCATTTGTTGGGAACTTGGACTTGAAGATTACCGTTATGTGGGACCATACCAAAATATGATTGAAATTTTTCTATGATGTGGTTCTCTACCATTAAAGTAGCCTAAATACAAATTCTTAGCCAAATCAATTGGAAAATGTGTTCAAGGCCCTTGAAAGAGGGTAGGATGTACCTTCAAATGGGCGCTACTGGGAAACATTGACAAAAAACTAAAATTTTTCTGCGAAGGGGGTAGAAAATCTCCGCCTTAGAAACCAAGATGCCAAAAATATGGCCAAGAACCCAGAAAAGTCTGAAATAAGGCGATAAGGGTTATACCAAAATGTTGGCCTATTTTCATTGGAAAATGTGTTCAATACTCTCGAAAGAGGTTAAATCAAGTAGAAAGTTTCAGCCTTAGTAATGAAGATGCCAAAATATGGCCAAGAACCCAGAAAAGACTGAAATAAGGCGATACCAACACATTGGTCTATATAGATTTTTTGCAGGGATGGCTTGTTTTCACTAATATGGTCTTTCTTACCAAAATTTATATTAAAAACATGGCAAAAATATAAAAAAATACATGAAATCGAGATATACCACAGCGTAGATCGATATGAACCATATTTTGCTCAAATTATTCTACATGTAACCCATAACCTGAAACAAATTTTTAAGCTCTATCCTAAATTTTAGAATTATGAAAAAAAAAATGAGGCCCTTTGTATTTGGTTAAGGCTGTATATATAATGGACCTTAAATCGATGGAGGATTTAATTAATTAAGGCTCGATTACACTTTGTGTTAGATTCAATCGTAAAGTGACTTTTTCATATTTTACATCTGTGTAACATACTTTAGGGAGCTCCCAATAACTGAAAAACTTACTTGAAACAAATACTTTACTATAGAAACTCTATACAAAGAGATATAACATAATAAGTGGGGACATTTCCTTGTTGCTTCGATTCAATAGATGGCGTTGGTAGTAGAGAAATATGTCAGGTCAGCATTTTATTGTAATCTAACAGCCCTGTTGTCATTATAGGAATTTCGCTGGCATTTATCGATTACCGCCCCTTTTTGGCGATTTCGGAATATCATATTTCTGTAACGTTTCCAATGCATCTTTCTATTAATTGCTTGATTGAAATATTAAACGGCAATATGCATTTTGTCAAATCTTTATAGTTTTTTGTCCTCACTGGTATTTTATGTTCACAATTTTTTTTTATAAAATTCAACTCAAACTGCCCTTATGTGAGCACGAGTGAAGAGAGTAATTTCGACACTTGAGTTGCTGAGAGTTTTTTTTTTTTATTTTCTGATAAATTAAAAGGTGTAACGCAATTATTTTGCGAAACAGCTGTTTCTTGGTGGATTTGACTGAATGTCGTTAGATAACATTTTAGAATATTTGCATGTGAGAGAGAAATTTATCTGAGTAAAAGTTACTGAGTTGTTTTTACTAAAGGCTCTATCAGACGAAATGTTTTTTTTACATATGTAATGTCAAATTTGCTATATGTAGAAGTTGCACATAACGTGTGATACATGGATGAAATTTTTTTTGTGAAATACATGAGTAAAGTACACACCATAGTAGAAGAATACAGGTAGATGTAGCAACGCTAGGAAACATTGATATGTCAAAAATTTTAATTTTTTTTTCAAGAATACGTACAAATTTATTAATTTTCCTATACGACGCCGATCGGAGGTTGTTATGATATGCATTTTCAACAATTTTTACAAATTTCAATAATTTTTCATTTAAAATTTTGAATTCCAAAATTGGTTTGACAGATCATTGTTCCAGCATCAGTACAGCTGCTGGGACAATGAACCGTCAAACTAATTTTGGAATTGAAAATGTTTAATGAAAAGTTATTTAAATTGTAAAAATTATTGAAAAACGCGTATAATAATAACCGCCGAATGACGTCGTATAAGAAAACATATAAAAATCTACTGATGCCGGAACATTTAACATTTTTGACATATCAATCGGAAATGTTTTAATCGGAAAAATATAATTTAATATTTTTTTTTTTTTTGTGATGTGAAAATATAAAAAATAATTTGCGGTAAAAATGCATCCATAAAATATTATAATTTTTTATTAAAATACAATATAATCGCAATGTAAACAAAAGAAATAAAAAAAATATGCTAGTGTGTGATGGCAAAAATTATGAGTCATATGTAAAATGGCAATTTTGATATACACACGGATAGTAAAAATGACAGCACATATGTAGAACCCTTTCCGTCTGATAATGAATTAAGAAAGTTATCGTAGACATATAAGATTGTAGGACATGTTTTTTAATATTCTACGCATAATTTCGTTGCAAAGTGTTAAAATGTTTTCTTATGGCTTATATCAAAAAATCATGCTATTTTTTGTTATATTATAT